ACTTGCTAATTATTGCACAGGGCAAAAAAGTATCTTTCCTTAGAAGTGCTTAGTAGAATAAACATCACTCACTTAGGTTCATCTGCTATGCCATATGTATGAATAAATGAGAGGTGTCACATCCATCTTCCATGGTTTCCTACCATAAGGATTAATCATGACATATAGAATTCCTGATGTCCTTCAGGGCTAAATAATCCTATATCTTTATCTTAAGTCAGACTTTAGCTCAACAAAAGGAACTCTTTCTGGCAACTAAAACTGTCTATCCATGGAATCATCTAGCCAGTAAAGTTGAAGAAGAGCCAAGATTAGAATTTGGGTGAAAGCAAAATCCAGGTCCAATTTCAGAGCCTGAGACGTTAATCACCCAGCTGCATCCTCACCCTTCTCCTCATTATTGATAGAAGCAAGTAAAATGAAAAAATATGTAAGAAAGAAGAAAGGAAAAACTAGATGGTTCAGCATCAATCTTGTAATATTAATGGACCCCCTTATTCATTAGAAGGGACCTAACTCAGCAGAGAAATCAGTAACTACATAAGGACCATATTTGAACTTGATAAAAGACTATACAAGGTACTGCTATGAGTGCTTTACATATTAATTTCATTCTCATGACAAACCTTTGAGTTAGATAACATTGTCTCCTTTTACAGATAAGGAAAACTGAAGTTCAGAGACATTATAATACATAACATATCCAGGATCACATAGTTTGCAAGCACCAAAGCTGGGATTCAAATCTATGCTGTCTGGCTCCACAAATCATGTCCTCAACCAGTATGCAATACTGCCTTTATGTCTTTTTGCAGTCTTTGTTTTCTTCATCTTCTAATCTAAAATATTATTCAATTAGCTTTTCTCTTGGGAAATGTTTTCCCAGAAACATTAGAAGAAAAAAATCTATTCTCATTTCAATGAAAATAGTATCACAACGAGAACATAAAAAACCACAGACAGACACCATCAGAAGAAAATTAAAATGCAGTTAACGATCAAACCATAATATCCATTCCGTGTAAATAAATACTTGGCAGGCTTTCAGGAGATCAATATGGCATTTCATTTTGTGAGAGGACTATTAACCTCTATAGGTACTAAAATTTAGATTTCACCAGTCCAGTTTTGAAGAGAAGCCAAGAATTCAATAATCCAATTCATGTACACAATGACATACTGAAAAAGGATAAAAAATGAGGACCTGCTCTTAAGTCATGGTCTACTAAAGAAAACAAAGACAAGCATTCGCAACCAGCATCTGCTTGAATCTTCTCTGTTACTGGTGGTTTCCAAGATGGCAAAATAGAGCATAGTGGTTGCAATCATGAGAATTTTAAAGAAAAAAATTAATTTTTTTTTTTTGAGACACAGTCTCGCTTTGTTGTCTAGGCTAGAGTGAGTGCTGTGGCGTCAGCCTAGCTCACAGCAACCTCAAACTCCTGGGCTCAAGCAATCCTGCTGCCTCAGCCTCCTGAGTAGCTGGGACTTCAGGCATGCACCACCATGCCCAGCTAATTTTTTCTATATATATTAGTTGGCCAATTAATTTCTTTCTATTTATAGTAGAGACAGGGTCTGGCTCTTGCTCAGGCTGCTTTCGAACTCCTGACCTCGAGCTATCCGCCCGCCTCGGCCTCCCAGAGAGCTAGTATTACAGGCGTGAGCCACCTCGCCCGACCCTAAATTTTTAACTATTAGTCACACATACATCTGATAAGCAATTATGACTTGGAACACTATAATATTCATCTAGAAGTAGATAAGAAGGTATATACACATTAGGCAAGCTGAATAAGACAAGTAAACGGGTCCAAGCTAATACTTTCAGGAATTCTAAGGCAAGCCACTGCAGGAGAGGGAGGGGATTTTGAGGTCTGTGTTAGCTTGGAGTCCAGAGGAGGAATTGGACTCCATTTATATCAGAGACTAGATATAAATGCATCTGACTCAAGAAGGAGGGAAGGGCAGTGTGGAAATAAAGGGGAAGCTCAGTGAAGCCCAAGTTCAAAGAAGTGGCTTGGGTCTGTGTTAGAGAGAAAATGGGATGGTATTTAAGGGAGGAACTGAGAAATCTGCTAAGCACACATTCTGCCAAACAACTACCACAAACTATGCTCTGGGCATCTTTGCTTAATATCATCTCAGATAGGGCTTAGGCAAAAATAAAGGGACCTGCATGCTGTCCTAATCAAATATTTCTTTTGCCATTGAATTAGGATCTGGAATCTGTACTTCATATACTCTTTTTTTTTTGAGACAGAGTCTCACTCTGTTGCCCGGTAGAGTGCTGTGGTGTCAGCCTAGCTCACAGCAACCTCAAACTCCTGGGCTCAAGCAATCCAATCCTGTCTCAGCGTCCCCAGCAGCTGGGACTACAGGCATACGCCACCATGCCCGGCTAATTTTTTCTATATATATTAGCTGGCTAATTAATTTCTTTCTATTTATAGTAGAGATGGGGTCTCGCTCTTGCTCAGGCTGGTTTCGAACTCCTGACCTGGAGCAATCCTCCCACCTCAGCCTCCCAGAGTGCTAGGATTACAGGTGTGAGCCACTGCACCCAGCCATTTGTAAACATTTGTAGAGTTTTGTTTCTGCTTATGTTTCTAGTAAAAATTTCTTTTGAAAAAACTTTCATCTTATCTCAGGTAAACTAAATACATGCTGTTGCTGGTGGTGGCAGCAAAGCTAACTCAGGCCAGGTGCACTTTCAGCAGAGGTGAAGTAGGAGCAGCCAAGTGCAGGAACCTGAAGGAACCAAGACTGGGCATTTGTTCATTCTTGCTCGTGCTTTTCCCTCGTTTTAAGTCTTTGACTCTCTGGTTATTTGCAGACAGCTACTATGTATTGCTTCCTCACCGACTAAATTTTCACTTCTCCAAGTTAACCAGAAGCACTTGCTCAACCCTGGTTCTTGTTTGGTTCCTGGGTCTCTCTCCAGCACTGTCTCCCATTTTACTGCCCCCTACTGGAAGCCCTCCTCTCTGTCAGTACCTTTGAAGAATGCTACCCAGAACGATACAGATGCATTAGAGATTAGAACTACTAACTCCCTAGATGTAAAACTGTATTTCTGTTGATATAGCCCAAGAAACACATTGATTTGGGGAATAGTTACAGATTTGTAAAACAATCATCACGTCTAGCACTCTGGGAGGCAGAGGTGGGAGGACCACTTGAGCTCAGGAGTTTGAGACCAGCCTGAGCAAGATCAAGACACCTGTCTCATTAAATAAATAAAATAAAATAAAAAACTCCTGGGAGAATTAAACACTATCCATGCAACTCCACTGGGAGAAGACAACTGGAAGTTTGTGCCTGGGTTTCCTGGACTCCCCTCTATATTCCTATTCCTTTTGCTATTTATTTGAGACAGGGTATCACTCTGTCTTCCAGGCTGGAGTGCAGCGATGGCAATCATAGCTCATTGTAACCTGGAACTCCTGGGCTCACGTGATCCGGACCAGTTAGGACTCCAGGTGTACACCACCATGCCTAAGTTTTTTATTTTTATTTTTTTGTGGAGACAGGGTCTCACCAAGTTGCCCAGGCTGGTCTTGAACTCCTGGCCTGAAGAGATCCTCTCACCTTGGCCTCCCAGGACTGGGGTTACAGGCGAAAGCCACCACACCCAGCTCCTTTTGTTAATTTTAATCTGTACCCTTTCACTGTAATAAACTATAACCACGAATATAACAGCTTTTCTGGGTCCTGTTGAGTCCTGGTAGTGAATCAATGAACCTAAAGGTGGCTTTAAGGATCCCAACTTAGATATGTTAATATGGTATAAAAATAAAAATACAGGCCGGGTGTGGTGGCTCACGCCTGTAATTCTAGCACTCTGGGAGGACAAGGCAGGCGGATTGCTTAAGGTCAGGAGTTCGAAACCAGCCTGAGCAAGAGGGAGACCCCCTGTCTCTACAATAAATAGAAAGAAATTAATTGGCCAACTAATTTATATATAGAAAAGATTAGCTGGGCATGGTGGCACATGCCTGTAGTCCCAGCTACTCAGGAGGCTGAGGCAGGAGGATCACTTGAGCCCAGGAGTTTGAGGTTGCTGTGACCTAGGCTGATGCCACGGCACTCACTCTAGCCTGGGCAACAAAATGAGACTCTGTCTCAAAAAAAAAAAAAGAATAAAAATACAGTCATCCCTTGGTATGTGTGGGGGGATTGGTTCCAGGACCCCCCACGAATACCAAAATCTGTGGATCCTCAGGTAGGTCCCCTATATACAATTATGTGATATTTGCATATAACCTACACATGTTCTCTTGTACACTTTAAATCATTTCTAGATTACTTATAATACCTAATACAATGTAAATGCTATATAGTTATTCTACCATATTTTTTGTTGTATTGTCTTTATTTTTTTCCTCCAAATATTTTCAACTCAAAAGTTGGCTGAATCCACAGATACAGAGGATTTACTACATTAATTAACTTGTGCAAGAAATACTTAAGAGTCAATGAAGGCTGGGAGTGGTGGCTTACACCTGTAATCCTAGCTCTCTGGGAGGCCGAGGCAGGAGGATCACTCAAGGTCAGGAGTTCCAAACCGGTCTGAGCAAGAGTGAGACCCCAGTCTCTACTGAAAATAGAAAGAAATTAACTGGTCAACTAAAAATATATAGAAAAAAATTAGCCAGGCACCATGGAACATGCCTGTAGTCCCAGCTACTTGGGAGGCTGAGGCAGGAGGATCACTTGAGCTCAGGAGTTTGAGGTTGCTGTGAGCTAGGCTGATGCCATGGCACTCACTCTGGCCCAGGCAACAGAGTGAGACTCTATTTCAAAAAAAAAAAGAGTCAATGAATTCTACAGTTGCTATTCTACCACTGTCAAATAAAATCATCTATTATAATCAGTGAAAGTAAAGATGTTTATTAAAATCCATTTGATGGCAGCTTAACTTGGATTTGGATACCTTATCTCTTAAAGAGTTTTTGGTAATTTTTAAAAAATCCACAGTAAACACTAACATTTCAAAATAGGTTAAAATAAATTTTTATTAAATGTTAGAAGAGATTTATATACATTTCACAAATTCTTTACAAAGAATTGCCAATCCTTGTCCACTTCTGTAATACAGATTTAGAAATTTTGCTGTGAAATACAGTCTACAAAACATTTCTTTAGAAAGCATCATAATGCTAATTTTAGGCAAAATAATGTTTAAAACTGAAATCTTTGCATGAAATGAGCTGAAACACTCTTATTCTTTATCCCAGTGACAAAATAATGGTAAAATAAACATTAAATTGAGGAAACAATAAGTATCATGTAAACTCAAATTCACCTAAAACGTTTTATTACTTTCAGAACCAGTGCTATTACAAGGTATCAAAAATCATAGTATGTACTCAAAGAAAATGTTAATCAAATTAACATTCAAAGAATATTGTCCCAAAGAAGTACCCCTTATTATAAGATATATTATAGAAGTCTTTTTACATTGAACACTTACGGCAAGAGCCATAAACCCTACAGAAGACAGTCTCCTCACACAGAATAATGATAATTCATCCATTTTAGAAGTGAATAATATCTCCTTAGTAGTGCTGTTCGTATAAAAAAAACATACAAGTTCAAAATATGCTGGCAACATACAAAAGTAGCCAATGGTTTTGGTCTTTGTCTAAGAGTACACACCCTAGTTTAACAAAGACTAGCTTTGAATCTCCCATTCAAAAACACACTTCTTTTCCAAAAGGCTGACTGCCCAACTGATGCCATCCCAGAGAGCAGAATCCCAACCATAAACTTTAAAGGGATATGGCTTAACAAAGAAGAAAACAGTAACCAATTTACCTCAAAGATGAGAAGCAAAAATCAACGTCAAAGTATTAAAAATCACAAGGAATTTTAAAATTCAATGTTTTGAAATTTTTCCCCTGAGCTATGGATGCTTGTTATATACAGTATCTAGTAAAACAGATGCATTCCATCATTTCAAGTTGTACTTATAAATGCTAAGATTCTTGGTGCTAAAAATAGATAAGTTATGTCTTGAACAGCATAAAGTGGTGGCAATTACGCGTTTCATGGAAATCTTTGGTGAGATGCAGTCCTGCAGAAGCATCCTTACTTTGTTTCCCTCCTCATGATATGCCTAGAATCTTCAAGTTATTTTCAGAGGAGAAACAACAAGACCGTAATGGAGGACGAGAAGGCCATCCTGAAAAGAGGGAAAAAAAGAAAACTATTTTGCAGTTCTTATCAGTTATGTAAATGATCAAGTAAAAGTTAGCTTATTTTGCATAATCCAACACTAATGTGAAATTCTTTAAAGAGAATAAAGGGACCAAGATAAATACACCTGCTTATTCACCTTGTCAATGTCTTTTTAATGATTTTCAGGAGCCAATTCTGAAACTATTACGTAATTATAGTTAGCTAGGGTCATTTATGACTACACAGTTCTCCAAAAAGAACTAAAAAAGAAACACCTTTCCTTCTCCACAGACTAGTTATCAGACTATTCAAGCATTGGGTTCTTCTAAAAAGACTCAACTATCATAACGCATCATGGATCTGTTTGACATAAAATGTTCATTTCCACATAAATCCAGCTTACTACTATTATAAGTGACGAAACTTTGAAACTCTTACTTTTAATGGAAGCATAAATTATATAATACATTTTACTTCCTCCTTAAAGACTGTCCTCAGGGGTTGTTGGGGCAACTAAACCCTGTATTAAATGATTCCAGATGATATGTTTCCAAATCTTTTTATCTGCTTTTATGGATTTCTATCTCCTCTCTTGGTATCAGGTCTTAATTCTTTGTGCTTTTATCAAGGCTGCACCCAGCAAGAATTCACCTTTCTAAGGTACTATTTCTAATTTCCTATGGACAGGAAAAGTAGCATTGGGAAATGTGCCATGGACCTGCTCCGAGCAACACAGGGAAGGATTGATATCCCACATGTCTTGCAGTCCCAATCCTCATCTGGCTTTTTTTTTTTTTTTTTTTTTTATCAGCGTGGGTACTATAGGTGGCCACCAGCCAGCCATATTTTTTTTTTAAACTTTTTGGAGTAGACAACAGGGGGTGTTGTCATGTGTTGCGCAGGCGGCGGCTCGTTTTGAACAATCCTGGCGACGGCAGGTCTCTAGGTCTCCCATCCAAGTGCTCTGGGAATTAAGAAGATATTGGGAACTATACACAGGATGACATTACAACCCTGATTAGCGGCGCTATGGTAAAACGCTGCCGCGCCAACGACTCACGGAATTAGTTTTAATAGACGCTGAAACCATAAGGTATGGTATCTACCCCTGAATAGCCCCGAGATTGCGAAGTGATTAGGACTTTGTAGTAGTCAGTCCTGACACGCCTAGCAGAGCCATTTTTGCACACAGAGCTCCGCTTTGTTGCCCAGGCCCGAGAGTGACATGCCCAGTGGCGTCAGCCTAGCTCACAGCAACCTCAATCTTCCTGGGCTCAAGGGTACCCCTGCCTCCAGCGTCCCGAGCGGACATGGACTACTCAGGCACCAGCTGATAGACAGCGACCGACTGCCTCTGTCTCCAGAACTAAATTTATATCATATAGATAATAATACTAATAATGAACTAAAGTCAATTACCTTAGTTTGGCCAATCATGAAGGAAATCTATTCTATTAATAAACTACTTTTTGAGCAGCCGATGTAGAGACAGAATCCCAGGTCTACGCCAGCTGATTGACCCACAGTGCCGTGTACTAGGCGCCAGCACAACTTCTCGTATTCAACGCACAGACTCCGACAGGATCCCCTGGAGGCCCAGGAGTATGGAAGGACCAGCCTGGGCGTCAACATCCCTCTGGCCTCCAGAGTGCTGGGGATTACAGGCGTGAGACACCGCACCTGGCCGGTAGTATGATTTTTTATATCAACTTTTTACTACTTTAAAATAATTAGAAGGAAGGAGTAAAAAAAGAAATTAGGGCCAGGCGCCTGGCTCACGCCGGTCAATCCTAGCACTCTGGAAGGCCGAGGTGGGTGGATCACTCAAGCAGGAGTTCGAAACCTGCCTGAGCAAGAGCAAGACTGCGTCTCTACTAAAAATAGAAAGAAATTAATTGGCCAACTAAAAATATTATAGAAAAAATTAGCCGGGCATGGTGGCACATGCTGAGTCCAGCTACTGGGAGGCTGAGGCAGAAGGATGCTTGAACCCAGGAGTGTGAGGTTGTGTGAGCTAGGCTGACACCAGGGCAGTCTACGCTCT